TTATAGTGTATTTAAATAAAAATCAAAAAGATCTGATTTAAATCAAAAAAATCCGATTTAAATCAAAATAATCCGATTTTTTTGATTTTTTTAAAAAAAATCAAAAAAATCACAAACCCTGGTTTAAAGGAATTGTTAAGCTCCGTTCGATGAAAAATTACTGATAACTTCAGTTTGGTGTAGGAGTTGTCTTAAGTCATGTTCTTGATAACTGTTGTGAAACGCCAATAGCTCTTCTACACTCATATTGGCAGAAAGAAGCTATGCACAAATCGATAAAGAGGCGTTGATAATAGTTTTTGGTAAAAGTAAACTTCATAATTTTATTTATGGACATAAATTCACTATTAGCCCCTGCTCGAAATGTTTTTAAAAGATAAGCTTACTAAAGAAATTTTGTCTCCTTGTATGCTGAGATGGTCTTTCATACATAACGCATATGATTATACTTTAATTCATAGACTAGAGAAAAAAAATTCGATATGCAGATTCTTTAAGTAGTTTTCCAAAAAAGACTGATATATTTGTGGTTCCCGCTTTCTTAAGAGGTATTGTTTGCGGCAGGATTTACAAGATCCTCTTAAGTTTGACCGAATATCAAGAGTGTTGTTAAGAATCATATGCATACCCCAGGGTAATTCCACAGTAACTCATGCTACAGATTTTTAGAAATCTAGCTTTCAAATACGATGCAATAATAAATATTGCACTTATTTTCTTTCAACAAAATTTAGGTTGATTGCAATTTTTCTGTTTTTTTTAATGATGCCATTAAAAATCCTAAGAATCTCTTAACTTTTTGAAATTTTAATTAAAATAGCTTGGTAACTCATGTACTTTAAGTCTTATGAGTGGATTGTATGTATCACTCTTATCACAAAATAGCATCTAGTTTTATTTTCAATAGTTTAAAAAAACTAAATATTTGACAAAATATATCAAGTATAAGGTAACTCCTGCTACAGTACTGGTAACTCATGCTGCATTAAAGATGAATAACTTTTAAAAATGATTACAGAAGCAAAATAAAATATTATTTTGGTATTTATTTAACATTAAGTATTTAGAAACAGGGATGTGATTCTTCCGCGGATTCGCGGATTTCCGCTTTTTGTCAGATTTTTCCATTTTTCCCGCTAATTTCCGCGGAAATTTTTTTTTGAACAAATTAAAATACTTTATGAGGAATTTAATTTTCCGCGGATCAAAAGTATTGAAGTCCTCATTCCTCCCTCTGAAGTTTCTCTAAAAATCATTTCCTTGGGATAAAACTGGTTGACCTTTATACAGAGATGAGATTTTTCGTTTTTGCCTCTTGAATTTCAGCCTTTTTATCAAAAACTCCGATTCTCTAAAAGTTTCGTTTTTTTTTNTACATGTTAAGTACTTTAAGTCTTATGAGTGGATTGTATGTATCACTCTTATCACAAAATAGCATCTAGTTTTATTTTTAATAGTTTAAAAAAACTAAATATTTGACAAAATATATCAAGTATAAGGTAACTCATGCTACAGTACTGGTAACTCATGCTACATTAAAGATGAATAACTTTTAAAAATGATTACAGAAACAAAATAAAATATTATTTTGATATTTATTTAACATTAAGTATTTAAAAAAACATTATTTTATTGAAAATTAAAAAAATATTAAAACATTTAACGTTGTTCAAGAACATCAATTTCTTCCTTAAATTCGTAGAAGAAAAGGCTCCCACTCTGTTTTATTACTGCATCTGGTAAAATCTTTATGATGTTTTCGAATGTCACATAGGAAATGTCATTTTCATCTGAAATGAAAATTTTTTTATTCATGTTTTTCTTTCTTAAAAACATTACCTTTACTTCTCCGTCATCTTCAACTTCACCTTGTGAAATAGCAGCATACCTTAAAATTTGCTTCTTACCTAAACATTTAATAAGTAGGAAAGTACCAAGTTTAATGCTTAATTTTGGAACATACCTAAAAATTTGCTTCTTACCTAAAATAGGTAGGTAAGTACCAAGTTTAATGCTTAATTTTGGAGGTTTAGTTGGTAAATTTTGTTCTGCTAAACTGGAACATATTTTTTTGGTTAACAGAGCACCCGTCACCTTCTCCTGGTTCACATAAATGCAATGCATTTTTTTTATACTTTCTAATGGCAGTGCTTCTTCAAATATTGAACACATATTTAAATTTTGATTTCGTTCCTCTATTTCATTGCACTTCATTTCAATTATTTTTATATCCGATCCAGTTCTTTCAGCTGCAGCTTTGAAGTCGGAGGCATTGAAAACAGAGCCTTTGCGTGCTTTTACGTAATTTCGAACTTGGCGGTTCACAGCCCCACCTATTCCGTCAACTGGGCCCTCGCCGTGTGATATTGCAAAGAAATTCCAAATAATTCTTTTTCTAAATTTGTTTTCCAATATAGGGATTGCAGCTGCAATAAAACGATTTGTGAACTGCGATGAAGGGCCATCCGACCATATATTGACCAGAATAATACTTTCTGGGAAATCTTCAAAGATTTTATCTAAATATGGAATTATACTTCTTTTTGAATGATCTAAATCATTGGATACAATAACAGCAGGGTGATGCTGTCCATTATACCACGACGAAATAGTAAACAGACTCACTTGCGGCTGTACCCAATGAAAACTTTGTATTTCATCCTGAGCAACACAAGTGTAATTCTCTGCAAAATCAATTTGTAGCAAAGCAGTGGTAAAATCGGTGCTTTGGGAGCCTACCTCTCCTTTCTGCATCTGATATGCTAGAGCTTGTTCATTTTTAATGAAACAATGAAGTAAAAAATCTTTTTTCATTGAAACTATGTATTTTCCAAGATCTTCGAGGCTACCTTCTTCTACAACTTTTGTTAACTTACCTTCAAAATCTTTCCACTTGTTCCATTCAGCCATATTTGAAGTAGATGTAGCAAAACAAGATTCAATACCATTTTCAAAAAACTTTTCACATTTATTTCAAGAAATTTGCCAGCAATTTTCAGTAGGATTCTCGCAAAGAAAATCTTTCATAAATCCTAAGGAATAAGCTGGGAATTCTGGGCAATACTTCTTGAAGCTTTCGATAGCAGAAATAAAATTTTCATGAAGTTTGCATAAGCACACATTATGAGGCATTTTGCTGCTTAAAAATATGTGCTTTGCAGGGATGAGATTCTTCCGCGGATTCGCGGATTTCCGCTTTTTCTCAGATTTTTCCATTTTTCCCGCTAATTTCCGCTGANACATCTTTCATTCCTGGAGCTTGTCGACTGATATCATCTCTTATATAAAAGTTTTTAACTATCTGAAGAGTTTCACTGCTCATAGGATTTTTTCCAATATAATTCTGTATTACAACATTGCGTTCTTGACTCGGGACAATTTTCATAAGCTGTTTTACTACTGCCTGCTTTTTACGTGGGGACTTTGGTAATGCCCGTTTGGCACGGGCAACTGCTTTTCCCAATGAACAAGGTGATTTATATGGGTATTGTTGTGATTTAAATGACCTTTCCTTTTTGTTAAATCTTGATTTTGCAACACTTTCTCTGGATCTCTTTCTTTGTTGTCTTCTCACCTTTTCTCTTTCCACTGGAGTCATTTGATCAATTTCATTGGGAGTCATTTGATCAATTTCATTGATCTTTTTATCGCGGCTTTTTTTAGCTGCCTCTCTGTGTTTCTCCTTATATTTCGCATAATTTCCTTCATCTTTAAGTTTTTGTCTTCTCCTTCTCATTTTTTCAGCAGCTGTTAAGGCCATTCTGTAAGAAAGAGACATATGATAAGTTTTAATTTATGGAGCTTAACTTAGCAGGATTTCACTATTTTTTTACCTTAAATTAAAATTTTGGTGTATAGATATTTTTTTTAGATATATTGTACAATGTGTTATACCTTTTACATTTAATGGATTATTTACAACAGTAACATCGAAATGTCTGAATTTTACTTTAACTAATACCATTAATTTCCAATAACATCTTTGAGTAATTTCCTCCTTCAATAACTTTTATAAAGTTTTAATCTTAGACTTGTTTGTGATAGGGAGCAAAG